TTAAGGTGTACAACTGCAGACCAAGTACAGTCTCCGAAATACCAGGGCTGGATCAGCTAAGTGGAAATTAACCCACGCCTCAGTTTTAAAAGGGACTGAGAAAGTCAGAGCAAGATAAAAATCAGCACTTTCAAGTCTGTCAGCCCCAGAGAAACTATTAATAAGGTCAAAAAGAACATCAAGGATCGTTGTGAAATCAACTGCCTTGCTTCCCTTTGCAGAGATGTATGTATATTCCCCACATATCTCAAAAGGTAAATTTCCTTTGAGAATTCTAAAAGCAAGTCAGCCAGCCAGTAGAGCTAAACGTGCACCTGAGAAGTTAACCCTGGGATCCTAGAACAACTCTCATTATTAAATATATAGTTCTCAGTGTCAGTGAGACCCCCAATGCTGAGACAAGCACAGAATATCAGTGTTAGGCCCAATTTGTGCATTACGGTCCTGCACAACTACACCAGCAGGGGCAAATTGTGACTAAATCCACTGTGCAATTGTCTAAATTTTCCCATTCTTGTTTTGTTCAGTTTATTGTAAGAATGTGAGGAACGTAAACGTTAACAAGTAGAAGGCTCAATGAGCCAAATTAATCACACTTTTGTGATAGGACCACGGTGTGGGAGCCCATTGGACGAGAAGAAGCAACAAGAATGGCTAGCCCTGCCCTTAGTCTTCCTCTTCTAATTGGGACAACGGGCATCCGATCATTAATAAAATAACCATTACGGTCTAATTCTCCAGTACATCGTAACGCTTGAAGGAAGATAACATCACACAACCTTATGAAATCAATTAAGTCAGCCTCCCTGGATTTCCAATTCCAACCAGCTAAGTTCCACAGAAGAACTTTAAGCTGGAGGTTATTCAGGACAGAAACTCTAGATGATCAAGAGGCAGAGAAACAGAGCAGGGTTGCCAAGCCATCTGGGTCCTGCCCCTGAACTGTAGGCTGTCAACTGACTGGATGAATCCACTCTAATTCCCCTCCGCCATAAACAAACATAGCCCTGTTTCTCATAGCTGGTTGCTTGCTTGTGTTCCTATTGACGGATGGCTCCTCATCAATGGAGCCGTCTCAACCACTTCACTTCCCTGTCCATCAGAGGGTGGGGTGCAGAGGAAGAGGGTTTATATTCTCTCAGAAGGGGGTAAAACCTAATCCATCCATTATTTATCTCTTCAGTCCAATTAGTGCTGTTATTATAAGCACAATTTTAATTAGTATCAAAAATGCTTCAAATGAAATAAGACTCTGCTACTCATTAACTCCTCAGCTAGGCAGTGGTTATTGAAAATCAACTCCTTATGTAGGCAATTATCAATTAGAGTTAAAATTATCTAAAATAAAACAAGGGTAAAAACCAGCCCTCCCAAGGTATCAACGGGATAAAAAATAAGAGAAGGACTCTTGCACACTTTAATGGTGCTTATTTTGGTAATAAACCATCAGTTTGTACACTCCCTAGAACCAAGTACAAATTCCATCAAGTATTATACATGTCAACAACGCCCTGTTGCAAATCCCTGCACCTTCCCATCTGGGTCCGCCATGCCTGTCTTGGGTTGGTGCTACAGTTATGCACAATCCTCAAAGAGCAACCAAGCGCAAGGGACAGAAACTGCTGAAGTTCCACCCTGATCATCCAAGCAGTCTCAATTAAAGAGAGCTTTCCCAGGGAATGTGGAGAAAGTCTCCTCGCAGACCAGGGAGACACGGCAGGGAGACGCAGCATCCTCTTTTGCCCACTACGGAAATCGTTAGATAAAAAAGCTGCAAATACTGCTTCAAGCACAACACCAAAGCATGCAGTCTCAACAATTCGCTCTTCATACCAGGGTGCTTCAAAGCTCCATGGCCTTCTGAAGCCTACTTAGAGTTTACCAGCTTCTTATGACTGGCACCACTTCAGGGAGCCTGGAGAAGCTGATGGCTTTGCACGGGTTCTTGCAAACAGCAAATTAGAGACAGCAGACTCAGCTTGCCAAAATCTGAACAAACCCTCCAGCAGCATCTGCCCTGGGAGTCCCCTTCCTCTGCTAATTACCTTGTCAATTCCAGTTGTCCTTGTCATTTTCATTTGGGTTACTTGCGGCAAAAAAGTGGGGTATAATAATGATAATATACCCTAAACATCTGGGAAGTAACAACTGTCACAATTCCTCTCCATTGGCTATGCTGGCAAGAGCAGGAGAACACTGTAGGTTGTCGGCTAAAATGGATTCCTGCACAACTCTTAACAGTCCAGGTGGCTTGTCTTCTTTTCCACCTGGCCCCTCTATTTTCATTATCAATGTTCTCATCTTCTTTCATTTCATCAGAATCAGAATTGCTTTGTGTAAGTGGCTCACAGACCACTGAATTACAGTTTTGGCACCGGAAACATCGATTGTTTACATAAAAAAGAAAAAATGCATGAATACAAATTTGCACAATACGTCTACAAAAGCTTCTTGATCCAATGATTGCAAATTCTCATTTGCCACATCAAATGTTAAAGTAAAAGTCCAATCATGGAAACTCTAAGTTAAGTCCTGCCAATTTTAGTGGGCTTTCTGAAACCCTGCATCACAATTGCAATCGTAAACAGAATGATTAGGGAGCAAACCCCACTAATGCCCCCATATTAAGGGTTCTTCCAGATAGAGGGATACTGGTGGTAACAATCTCAAGGCACTGTGCTGCTCTTCCATCTTTTTCTCTAAAACAGATTTTCAATAGTTAATAGTTAGGAGGCTGAACAGAAGTAGTAGTAGAAAAAACATGTGAGTGTTTGGGGGGAAGACAACTTCTACATGCCCCATAAAATTCTGCAAATGGAACAAGGCAATTACAGTGTATAAGTCTTGTCTGGAAGCACACTAACTGGGATTGCAAATGCCATGCAGAACTCAAGTGGCCAGAGGCAAATCAGCAGAGGCCTCCTGAACTTTTACTACTTGTGTATGATGGGGTGTAGCTTACATGAAAGGCAAAAAAATACAAAATAAATCTGAAAGCAAGTGGCTTTTAGTTTAAAATCCTAATGGCACAATTCCATGGGTGTGTTTTGAGACGTTATTCCCATTGAGATCAATGGCACTTACTCCCAGGTAAGTGATGCAGAGTGACAATTCGCTCTACATCTCCCTACTGTTCAAGCTACCAGGGCTAATTGAGAGAGATCCTATGAATTCTAGGCTGAAATACTTGGGAACCCTAAGTTGCCCAGCGCCACTTTGCATGAAAAGGAATATAGTACCTGTCAAAGGTGCTTGTACCAAGTATTGACCAGGGACAGGTGGCCCAAGTGCTAACTTGGTTTGCCCACTTAACCTTTGTGCCACCGTGAAAATATTTCGCAGCTTCACAGTGTCCAGTATCTTGTGTACATCATGCCACAACAATGCTAATTAAAGCTTTTCAGTTCCAAGTTGCAACACAACAGAAAGTAGAGAAGCCAAGGTGGGGATAAACTCCTGCAAGGCACTGTATATCCATAGACACAGCTGCAAATAGTATAATTATATACATTCAGGAGCCTGTACGTATAGACATAGGCATGTTGCAGGCAAGCCTGTGAACACTTGAATAACTGGAGCGGGGGGCGGGGACAAGAGCTGCTGTTGCTGCTGTCACTATATGCCCAGAGACTAGGCCCACATCTGTGAACAGCTCAAAAGTAAAACTGAGCTGAAGATAAACGACACTGTGCAGGCTTACTCAGTAGTAACCAGTCCCTCTGTGTTCAATAGTGTCTTCAGCAAGTGTGCAAGAGATAATAGCGTAAAATAAACTGAACCTCATGTGCCAGATATAAACTCATATATTTAAATATGGATTGCATAATCTAGAAATTAAATGCGAAATCGACTCCATCACTTGAAGCAGAAATCTTAGAATTGCCTAAACCCCTGATGTTCTGTCTGCCCAGTCGGACTCCTCTAACTGGAAAGTTTTATAGATTGGTAAACTGCAACCAGAACACAAAGGTCATTAGTCTGAGAGATTATCAAGCACCACTCACTGACTCTCCATCTGATCTTCCAAAGAGGACACACGTGCCAAGCAAACTGGCCTGTTGGTCACAAAGGTCATTCTCTAGGCCCATTCCTAGCAGTGATTCCCCTGAAAGGCTTCCTGCTTTCCATGCATACTTCTTCCACTTACCTTTGTCATACTGGTACACTGGTCAGGCAACCAGGCACGCTTTCACCTGTTAGAGAGGTGATCCCTGAGAGGTCACACAGTGTTTGCTAAACAAGTCCAAACTGCCGGGGCCCCGCCAAACTGTACCCATACGATACACAGACCCGCAAAATGTTGCATAAACGTTTTAGCAAACAGACGGACGCTAAAAGCCTTTGCTGTCCAATCAGTCACGTCCGAAGCAGGCGGGGGTCAGGCGCAACTGCTTGTCAGGAGCGCACGGGCTGTGCAACCCTCTCTGCGGCCCTGCAACGCATGCGAAGCCCAATCCGAGCCGCTGCGCTTTCCTGCCCGGCGCCCCGGCGGTCGCCGCTCCTCTTCCCTGCGCGGGCGCCGCGGGCGCTGGGCGATCCGGCCACGTGCAGCGGGCAAGCACCGGCACGCCCCTTCCTCGTCCTCGGGGGATCATCGGGCAGGCAAACGTGCAAAGGCGGCGGCCGGGCTCGCGGAGGGCTGCAGCGATCCGGTCGGTCCGGCCAGGCGCCGAGCGGCGGAAGGCGCATCGTCCCCGGGGCTCTGCGGGCTCCCCGGGCCGGGCAAGGGCGGCCTCCGCAGCCGGACTGCGTCCCCTGCGACTCCCCGCGGCTTCCGGGCAAAGCCAGAGGTCACGGCGCGAAGGCCTGCCGGCTAACGGAGAGCCGCCTGGCCCGTGCTCCGACGGGGACGCAGGCCACGCCACGCCACGCCACGGATCGGCGGCTGCCCGCAACGAGCGGCGCCCGAGGGTCCAGCGCGCCGCTCCCTCCCGGCGGCGCCCCACGGACGCTGCCCGCATGCCTGGGACGGGGACGGGGACACCGGGGCCGGGCTTTACCTAAGTCGCGCGGGCTCCAGCTTGGGCTTCTTGGCTTGCGGCTCGTCCGCTGCCATCTTCATGCTCGTCCGCGCTGCCTATTTTTGCCGACGAGCCGCCCCGCTCCTTGCAGGGAAGCCGGCAAGGGGGCGGGGCGGGCGGGCTGGCCGGGCTGCGCCGAGCGCCTGCTCGGGAGAGGAGCCGGCGGCGGGGCGAGGCGAGGCGAGTGCGCGCCGCTCCCCGCCCGCCCGCTCGCTCGCTCTGCCGCGGGGCCACGCGAGCAAAGGCGGCGCCCGCGCTGCTCGTCCGTGCTCGGCTCGCGGTGGAGCGGCTGCTGCGCCGGGAGCGCCCGCGCCGCCGCCG